ACACCCCCCCCCCCCCCCCCCCCCCAAAAAACGGTTGCGGGGGGGGGGGGGGGGGGGGGTAGGGTGGAGACAGGAATTGAGCCTGCCTGCACCGGCCCTGGCCAGCAGGTGAAAGTGCTCCAGCAGCCTCTAAGGAGGCTGCTGACCCACCCTCCCCCCAGTCCTGCCCCTCTTCCCCACCAGCTCCAGCGCTGTCAGTGGGGAGGGAGAGGGATGGGAGCAGCAGCAGCTGCTGGGCTCCTTTGCCTGGAGTAAGCTGGAGGAGGGAGCGGAGAGTGGAACGAAGCCTCCTTGCCTTGTGGACCCCCCCTAGCTACCACATCTGGGGTATTGTGGGGAGCAAGGTGAGGAGGCCCTGGAGCATCCCCCTTCCCCTCTGACTCAGGCTGGGCAAAGTAGCCCAGCAGCTGCTGCTGCTCCCTTTTCCCTCTGCTGACAGCCCTGCCCCTGTGTGAAAACTTAATCCTCGAGGGAACATAAATTCCCTAAGGTGCTCCAAACAAGAGTGACTTAATCTAATACCTGATCTGGCACGGGTTAATTTTTCATGCAATCTGGCATTTGAAAAGCACTCTGCAGCTGTGCATGTGCCATGTCATGGCTATAGAGAGTTTTCAGGGGCCAGAAATAGCACAAAAAATGCCACTTCTGTCTGTGCCTGAAGCCATTCCAGGAACCAAAGGTCACTGGGTTATAGTGGTGTTTTCACCATGTCATCCCTTCAGTGGTAACACCCTGAAGATGTGGGCTGGAAAACGGGATGAAGCTGAGCTGCTAGCCTTACTCTCTACTACCCAATGATTTCTATAACAAAGGTACTACATCCCCCTTCCCAGATGCTCTGATCTCCAGAGCAACCCTGAGGACTGGGCTTGCTCTCCAGATGCCTGGGAAATTGGATAATAGCTCATTTATACAGGCAGCAACCACTGCACAAGCCAAGATACAGCAGTTTTTTCTTTCAAAAATATTAAAAATTGTCCAGTAAAGCACACCAGATTGTTTACTTCAGCTTTTGTAAAGCAGCTGCTCTGGATTTATGCTTGTTTAAACGATGGCAGAATCTGTCCTGTAGACCCGTTTCCCCCATGATCTAACTCGCATTGATTTCACTAAGGAAATAGGTGCCTGAGTATCTGGGCTTTAGTCCTTACTTTGTGATGGAAATTTTATTTATATATATATATATATATATATATATATATATAAAATATAT